TTGTGCAGGAAATGAAGGCGCACTCACCCAATTAGGGTGTCAATATATAGAAATTATGCCTCCCAAGAGCCAAGGGCCCAAGGTCATTGCGGGCTGCGTCTAATCAATGATTGATTTCCATACTTTAGACCCATCCGCCCATGGGCATTCGCCAAACAAAACTCAAGTGCCCAATAAACTTGACTCATGTGCCCCCACACGGCGCATGATTATTGCGTATACGCAACGGGGTCACTTCAACATTATGAATTATGCATAACATGGGGTATTCATAATCATTTCTGCGGTGCGTTTACCCTTATCTCATCCCCCTTCCCTATTAAAATCTGCGCTTTGGCTGCCATAAATGTTTAACGCACCTGCAGCGGCTGAGGCCCAAAAACAAACAAAAAATCTGTCGGGCCAGCTGCTCATCCGTTTCACAAATACACTCTAAAATACTTGTTTGAAATATTAAAATAAAAATTTGTGGTTCTTAAAAAAATGTTGACTTTCTTTTGAGCACAATAAATAATTGTTAATGAAAAAAATTGGTTTCCCGCATACACTTAAAAATAATATTTTAGCATAAAAATATTATTTATTGTTAAAATATACAAGGTAATTGTAAAAGTAGACTCTATAAAAAATAATATAGTTCGATGATTCAATACGTAAAAAAAACATAATTTTGATCTTTTCTAAGTATTTTTCATATACACGATTAAAAAGTTATCACATCAATGAAATTAGTTTTAAGAAATCTATGTTGCAATTTAACTTTTAATTAAAAATTTTTGTAGCATTTATTTATCATAAAAGTCTTAAATAAAATTATTTTTGAATAATATTTTATAAGTTGGTAATAAAAACTATTTTAAAACTATTATAATAAAAAATTAAAACCACCGTTAAAAGTGATTATTTATATAAAACTTGTAACTGTTATGGTCCATTGTTACAATATTAAATTGTTTTCTTTTAGAAAAATTGTTCGCTGTGTCATACACCTTTTTTTCAATACCTGATAGTGCTGATTTATTTTTCTACGTGTTCATCAGAAATAAGTGGGGTATTTGTCGGAATATGTGGCGTACATAACAATGATCCCTTTTATCCAGACAGCTTTTCATGCCTGTTATTTGCAACGATTGTGTGAAAGTGGCCAACATTTGGGTGGAGTTTGGTTGGGGTGGCTTTTTCAGGTACGAGGTCGTATTAGCCAACAATCAATGAGCAGGGTCCCTGGAGGAAGGCCACCGGTTCAAAACCCCTTTTTGCCATCATATGATTATTATAGTTCCATGCATTCAGAACATAAATCACATGGCCACAGTTGAGACACGTCGCTGGCTGTGTCGTCACCTATCATCCATCCATCCTTCCATCCAACCAGCCAGCCGTTCATTCATCCATTGCTTTATTCATCCGTTCGTTATTTATTCATAGCAAATGCTGTTACCAACCCCTTGGTTACCAACCCACCCTCCCCCTCCCGACGTTCTTGCTGTCTAGCTGCATGAAATGTACAAAATGTTTGGGCTTAAATAAATACAGAAAACCTCAGTGCGAAAACCGAACCGAAAAGCCCCGACCGCAGTAACAATGCGTCGCTTGTCGCTATTGTTGCCAATGCTCTGCAGCTTTTGCCAAATTCGCAGTGATGGGGTCTACTGTCGAAACCAATGCACACAAAAAAAAAACTAAAAATAAAGAAAAGTCTTTTTTAATAAATAAATCAAGGTTGAAGCAAGGTATTTTTGCAAAATAGCCCACGCAAATATATCTTATGAAAAAGATGTGTATAAATAAGATTTTGAACTAGAATATAATTGTATCATTATATAATCAACCAAAATGTGATTGATTTAGATTTCGAATGATTTATTATTTTTATGTCTTGGTAATTAAAATCCGATTTTTCTGAGTGCAACCAGCATCTCCTGCCCTCCACATCTCATTGTGTTGTTCTAGGTACGTGTGTGTTTAGCGTAGCGTAAAATAAATCATTTTGTTGCGGTAAGCACACACACACATTCGGTAAGAGGGTAAAGCTGAAGATTCTCGGATGCATAGAGATAGAGATGTTACGATAGCTGGTACAAATTGCCGGCAGCCAGATGATGACTCCTCTGTAAGCCGTAAAAAAATTAGTTGAATGAATAAAAATGAGTCATTTGTATGGGGAGAAATTCGAGGAAAATTAAGCAGTTGAAATCGCTGGAAAACTTCCGTGTGAAAATGTGTGATAAGCTGGCTTAGCTGCTCTCAAATCTACGTAATAAACGTGGCTAAAAATGCTCAAGATTGTAAGGAAAATAAACTGTGGATAAGCGAAACCCGAGTTGCATGAAAAGTTAGTTTGAACATGGCAGCAAGAAATATACAAGTGTGTGTTGAGAAGTTATCCAACTCAGGCCAATAGCTTTTTGATAATTTACAGCAGACTACTCAGAAAAATTTAAGAGCAAATAAACGAGCTAAAAACATGGTATAAACAAATGAATATGTATATATAATATTATTTTGTTAAAAAAATCAATATATTTGTAAAATAAACCAGTAACCTAATCAAATATTAAGGTTAAGCTTTTTACGACTGTGATCATTTTATTGCTCGTTTTTATGGTTCTGCTTTATGAAAAATAAACGTCAATAAAGTCTTCGATTTGTTGGACACATTTCTGTATTATTTTTGTGTTATTTTACCCATGATATTATTTGAAAACAAAATAAATTTCAAACCAGTGGTTGTCTGTCAAGCGGAAAACGGAAACAAACCAAAAGCTTAGCCGCAAATAAATACAACCCAACTGACAAACTACCAACAAATAAAATGTTTTTAAACCATATAAGATAAAACAATGTAAAATATTGTGCTGCAAAATTCAGAGTGCTATAGACTTTTGTAAGTCTTTAATCGTTTCACAAATTTACTACAATTATAAGTAAAAATAATGATGTTATGTATACGGTATTGTTTGAATATTTAACAAATTGTAAAATTCACAAGCACTCAGTAATTTAATTAATAAAACAAGGCAAAACTCTGTAAATTAAATTTTTCATTTTGTAAATAATTTAATATAGGAAAATAATGTTTATGATATTATTTAAACATTCATCAAATTGTAAACTACACAAGCCCACAGAAAAATAGATCAAAATTTAATCAGTTAAGGAATAAATGGAAAAAAGAAGAGACTGCACAATTAAGTTTTTCATTGCCAATTTATTCATGACTTTCTCTAATTAACTTTTACGCATTTGGACTAGACTGAAAAGCGATAGAAAGTTGAAGGCTATGCCGCATATAGGAGTACTCCCACCTGGAATTGTGCGTAATTCAATTGCTCAGAACCCCGGATTCAACTGACCGGAAGCACTAAAAGCTGACTGCCTGCCTGCACAAATATAATTAAAATGCTCCAGCACTTGGGGGGAAATGTATAAAAACAGGGAAATAAATAAGCGCAACACAAGAGTAAAACTTGTCATTTAATGTGCTCCGTCAAAGTAAAAAGGATCTAAGGAAAATTGATGAGGGGACCCTCTGAGAGGAAAACTAATTGAAGTTGTAAGTCGTGAGGAAGGTTCTCAATTTGACTTAAGTCCCCGGTTCGTTGGTGTTATTTAAGAGCCACGATATTTTTTGGTTTGTTCAATTTCTCGCACTCTAAGATCTGTCTTTACCCGAATTTTTCCAGAACTTTCTGTTGCATTTTTCTGCCCTTTTCCCACTTTTTGCCGTTTGTTGTTGCCAATTTCAAATACACGAATGTTAAGTTATTTCCGTCAAAAGAGTAATTAAACGTACAAAGCAAACGACATTTCCACACATTTCAGGGACGTCGAGCAGAAAGGTCCAGACAAAAGCGAGGGTCGATAACAAAAATATAAGGAAATATTAATTTTTAATAATAATTATTATAAATAAATAATGAAATAAAATAAAAAAGAGGGCTGCCAAAAAAAATATACAAAAAAAATTCATTTTCATATAATATAAGAGAAATTACGATTATAAGAACCTTTAACTTTGCTGCGAAAAATATCTTAAAACTTAAAAGACAATCCAAATGCTTTTATTATAATCTGTAGCTTCATGTATTGTATTAAAAAAATTTGTAAAACAATAGAAACTTATCCAATTAACTTTGGGCCATATAGTTTACCAACATTTTTGGTTTTTGAAACTTTCATTTCTAAATTCTTTTATATAATCTGATAGTGATAAATCTGTAAAAAAAAAATTACTATGAATAATTGAACTTTTAATTTATTAAAAATAGTCAATTTCAAATAGCCCTTGTAAACGATATCTTAAATTTGTATAAAATTACATACTGAATTAATTAAAAATAAGCAGTTTTACTTTAACTCGTTTAAAATTAATATTTATAAATGTGTTTTAATCACATCTTTTTGAGTGGCTCTCGTTGGGGCATCCAGGCATTTGTCCATTTGGCTCCTCTCTGGCTTCTTAGGGCCCGGCGGTCATTGCGGCTCAGTCCGGCTCTCTGTGGCCTTCACACAAGCAAAAGACTGCCAAAGAGGTCCTGGGAAACCGGGATGCAGGACGTAGGATGCAGCATGCTGGATGTTGGATGCTGAAGGAGGGCACTGTCAGTAACCTGCGAGCAAAACATTGTAAATAAAATGCAGCAGGAGATTCCGAAAGGGGAGGTAGTTGAGTTCTGTGTCTGGCTTGCTGACCTGCGGCGCTTTTGTGTTAATTGCGGTTGCATTTAATTACAGTTCGCTGCAACCGGCCAGCTTTCTCTCGTCTTCTCTTTCTACCTGCATTGCATTTTCCTCCCCATTTTCCTTAAACCAAGCCAAGACTTGTACTAAGCTTTTAATTAAAATTAAAAATATTTGGTCTACTTTGGCAGCTTGACTTTGTAGTGTTTGGATCTACACTATGCTAGCCATAAACCGAATTTGATTTATGTGTGTGTGTGTGTGTATAGGCCAATCGTTATAAATTCCAATTGCACTTCATTAAAGGTAAAGTCAAGTTTATTCAACAATTTAAAGTTCGAAATTTATTTGTAAACCGCAATGATGTCTACAATGCTAACATAAGTACCCACAACACCGCCAAAAATACCAAAGCACAACAGCAGCATATTGATGATCAATTTTATACGGAATGGTCCATAGCCTTCGGTATATTGCACACAGATCTGGAGTAAAGCCGGAAATATAAGCCCCAGGATCGACAGGCAAAAGGATCCCACCAGCGAAAGGAAGACCGATAGATCCGGAATGGCAACTGCACAGGCAACTAAAAATGAATGGGTATTGATATTAATATAATATGTATATATTTAAAGTCTACCTTGATTTAATATATATTAATTTGAATTGATTTGAGTCAAGAAAAAAAAAATAAATATTCAAATTATCTTAACTTTGCGAAAAATAAACCGTTTCAAAAATAAATATAGAAATTGTTGAATTCTTCTCCATTATACTTACAAGTCAGCAGCACAATAAGAGCTCTAAAGATCAGTTCATAAAGTGTATGCCTGGATTCCTTAAAGTGCTTGGACAAGTATTTATCCCACAGAATATGGGCTGTAACATAGCCCTGCAAGGCATACGAAATCCAGGTAGTGATGGCAAAGAATACTTTAACCACCTGAGCGGGTCTGCAAAAAGGGATTTTAAAAGTTAAGTTAAACTTAACTTGAGTAATACTCAAATAAAATTAAAAACTCACATATCAGACTGCGGAATATTTAGGGTAATGCTGCCCAAGGCCTCATCGCCATATTTCCAGTAACCAAAGAAGCCAAGGAGTACATATAAGCCCAGCACTATGGACATTCCACCGTTCATAATTCCACAGGGGCGCACAAAGGCCCTGGGCGTGGCCATATTTTCCTCAATCGCTAAAATCTTAAATAGAATCATATGTGATTATATTTCTTAATTGTATTATTTAATATAATTAGAGAACTTACAACACCCACAGCTTCCAATGCAAAAAGTACTGTGCCAAAGAATGTTGGCAGCTTTGTGACGGCCACAAAAGGTTCTCGTTCACTTAAAGGAGGTAATTCCCCAAATAAGTAGTACAAAATGATACCAAAACCTAAAAAAAGTTAAAAATCCAAATAAAAATTAGTTTTTAAAATTATTAAAAATATATAAGTAATGACAATTTCATAATTAAGTCACTAATATCTTTAGAAATAGCTTTACAAAATATTTATTGATTAGTTAATTTTTATACAATAGTATTAAACTTTTCAAAATAAACTTACCCACGAGTAATAGAAGATTTGCTGCACTGGAAAAGGGCGCCAGTAGTTTTAAATTCTTGATGCTGTATATCAGCAGGAGTGGAACTATAATTATGCACATGTATAAACGGACATCCCATTCCACCCCAGTCCACTCGTTCACCAGCTGCTTTATGCTTTCAGCTATGAAAACCACATAGACGCAGCAGATGCCAAAATGATAGAAGGCCAGGAAACCATCTACAAAGGGTCTGCGAAAAAAGAAGTTTCATTTAGTTGTTTTTATTAGTTACAAAAATATAAATTTTTCTACTATGATTTCGTATATAAGGGTTTATAAGTTCATAAGAAAAGGTTTAAATTTTAATAATATAATTGGGGTCAGATGGTCACAGGTTTTTTTAAGCAAAAAATGTTAATAAGTAATACTCGACCTAAACACTGTTTAAGTAAGCAAATTGTTTTTTAAAAGATTTCTTGTACTTGTTTTTTGTAACCTTTTGCTAACTATGGTTTGATAACATTACTTGATTTCTTGTTACAATGAAAATAAATACAAGACATTCTTACAAGGCATATACATATTTACTTGTTATTGAATTCGACCGATTAAAAACAAGATAAGATTTGTATTGCCAAATAATTAAGTCATTATACAGCACTTACAATGATTACAAAGATAATCAATGTAGAGTGGAGGTTGCCGAACTACTTAACTCACATTGCAATGGGTGCTAAACAACGCAGCCAGGGTGGACCTTGTTTTAGACCCAACTTCATGGCCTGTGAAAAGCTGACATAGGGAACTCTTTGTTGTTTGCACAATTTGTACATGCAACTGATCTGTAAAGACAAATATTAATATAAAGTAAGCGAATAATACTATTACTCTCGGACCCACCAAAATATGCAGACAATACAGGGCCAGTGATCCGATGATCAGTGTGAGAATGGTTCCATTTACATATCCCGCATGAGAAAATGCACTGGGCATGGCCAAAACTCCTGTGCCCACTGAAGCCTTGAGAAAATGGGCAAATGTTTGCCAGTTTCTGGTGGAAAAATAATCAACAAAATATTCCACAATGGAAAATCCAAAACTTACGTTGTGGGATTCTTAACATTGCGGTGCTGATGAGGATCGTAATCATCGTTACTGCCATTCGCTGGTTTTGTTGGGGTCGTTAATTCCAATGTTGTTGGGTAAACCGTCACAGTTTTTATATCGTCGCTATTAAAATGGCAATGAAAAAATTGTTTTTGAGGTGAATTGATTGATCGTTAAACGGCGCGGGTTATAAAAACAATAAGCGCCAAGGAGGTAACTCGGTAAAAAATGTTTTCCAAAATTAACTGCAGTAAAAATATAAAAACCGGGATTTAGTTAGGGCAAATGTTCTGTCATTTATTATGTTTGCGCATCAGTTGACTAATTTGTTTTTACGATCCCGAAACCAGAAGAACACATAGACAAAACTCACTTCATTGCGATAAAGTAGCGAACGAGTATTTGATAAAGCTACTTGTGCTCGGGGTCTATAAATCTTTTATCACACGCAATTAAACAAGATTTTTTCTGTGCGATTGCGAATTCCTGGCGTAACCAGGTTTTGAAGGTAGAACCGTATGCCTAACTGAACGGACGGATACTAAATTTGGGATCCCGGTCGAAGCCGCTCAACACCTCTCGTTCGTAAACCGTGCTGATAATCTTATAAAGATAATTGTACGATAATCAGCCGGTACAAAATTATTTTCGGGGAATGTGGCAACTCAAAACGCAGCGAAACGAAATATATGCCAAAATAATGTGTGCGTTTTTCATTATAAACAAAGACTTTGCAAAAAAAAGTGAAACAAGACTTAAGTCCGTATAATGGCCCTAACCTGTTTGGCGATCGTTTTTGAACCTCCCGAAAAGTTCATTAATTGACAAACTCTTTACCTAATATATTATAGCGAAGGCTGAGAGCAGACCAACACCAAATGTTTTCAGTTAGCCGATTTTTACACACAAGATAAAAAGCTTTACTGCTTTTGTATTTTACTTTACATTGCCCGCACTGTGGGTCGTTTTGGAAAAAAGTTCTGAAAAATCGTTAGAGATTTAGACTTAGGGATATCATTTTAAATAAATCGATATTTTGATATTCACTTAATAGTTAATTGGTCAACACTGCGGATGTGTAATGTACATAATAGTATGGGTTAAAATGTTTTATAGACAGACTACTTACTAAACATAAATTGACAAATAACTTAAACTTTTAAGTTACCTGATAAGTACAAAGATTATTTATTTGTTTTTATTTTTTTTGTAATTTTTATTGATTGCGCCACAGAAATCAACAAATTGAAAATATTATGTTGCATACTTTTGACGCCTCTATAAAAGCTTTAAAAACCTAAGTGTTTTCTGTGGCACCCCTTTGCCATTTATTTTCTCCAACTTAGTAACCCATGAAAATTACATCACATTAAACATTTAATAATTATTACCCCAAATAAATCAGTTTTAGAAATAGTGGCACGCGATCATGTCAAAAAAACTGTTTCGTCCAATAATTCAACCCGAGATCCTTCGACGGCTGTGTGATAAACCAAAGCTGAGCAGCAAACCTTCAAATACTCCACATCCTCCGAAGGATCCTCCAGATGAGGGTTACAATCCATCCAGTGTGGATCATGATGCGCTGGATGTGCCCGCTTTTGTGAGTCCTTCGTCCTTTCGCCAGTTTAGTTCACCCGATGAGAAGTTGGGACCGGGAGCTGGAAAAGCTTTGGAGTACAAGAATGCCCAGTATTTTGGATATCATCGATTCTCGTTTATGAATTTAGTGAGCACGGCTACTGAATTACGCGATGAACGTCGTTTGGATGGAGGTCTTCAGGCATCCATAGAAGCTGATGAAGAAACCGTTACTGAAGAATCCGAACTGGAGACCATGAAGAAACTGGAAGAGGAGTGTGATGGAATTCTTGAGGCTCAGGCCAAGCAAATCGAAGAAGCCAAATGTTCCACCAAGGAGAAGCGTATTCAGGATATGAGCGAAGAGGAGTTGCAAGAGTGGTGCAAGAAAAAGGAAGAAGATATCAAAAAGAAGGAGCAGCAAAAAAAGGATGGAGAAAAGCCGCAAAAGAAACTCGAGGATATGAGCGAAGAAGAGTTAATGGCTTGGTGCCAGAAGAAAGAATCTGACATAAAAGCAAAAGAGAAGAAAAAGCAGGCAGAAGAAAAGGCTAAATGTGAAGCAGAAGAGAAGAAAAAGAATACGGAAGCCAAAAAGAAGTATGAAGAGGAAGCAAAGAAGAAAAAGGCAGAGGAAACTAAAAAGAAGCGGGACGAAGTAGAGAAGAAGAAGAATGAAGAAGCTAATAGAAAATGTGAGGAAGAGAAGTTAAAAAAAGAAGCGGAAGCTAAGAAAAAGTGTGAGGAAGAAGAATTAAAGAAAAAGTGTGAAGAAGAAGATTTAAAGAAAAAGTGTGAGGAAGAAGAAAGGAAGAAAAAGTGTGAGGAAGAAGAACTGAAGAAAAAGTGTGAGGAAGAAGAACTGAAGAAAAAGTGTGAGGAAGAAGAAAGAAAGAAAAAATGTGAGGCAGATGAAAGTAAGAAAAAATCTGAGGAAGAAGAAAGAAAGAAAAAGTGTGAGGAGGAACAACTAAAGAAAAAGTGTGAGGAAGAAGATAAGAAGAAAAAATGTGAAGCAGATGAAAGTAAGAAAAAGTTTGAGGAGGAAGAACTAAAGAAAAAGTGTGAGGAAGAAAAGAAGAAAAAATGTGAGGCAGATGAAAGTAAGAAAAAATGTGAGGAGGAAGAACTAAAGAAAAAGTGTGAGGAAGAAGATAAGAAGAAAAAATGTGAGGCAGATGAAAGTAAGAAAAAGTGTGAGAAGGAAGAACTAAAGAAAAAGTGTGAGGAAGAAGATAAGAAGAAAAAATGTGAGGCAGATGAAAGTAAGAAAAAGTTTGAGGAGGAAGAACTAAAGAAAAAGTGTGAGGAAGAAAAGAAGAAAAAATGTGAGGCAGATGAAAGTAAGAAAAAGTGTGAGGAGGAAGAACTAAAGAAAAAGTGTGAGGAAGAAGATAAGAAGAAAAAATGTGAGGCAGATGAAAGTAAGAAAAAGTGTGAGGAGAACAACATCTCTGATGAACAAAAGTCGGTACTACGTGTTTTTTCAGATTTTAAGCTGAAGTGTATGGACGCTTTGGAAAAAAAAGAATGTGAAGTCAAGAAAAATAAAGAGGTAGAGGAAAAGAAAAAATGTGATACAGATACGAACAAAAAGGATGACAAATAAAAAAATATTCTGATTAAAACAAAACCAATAAACAAAAATAAGAATTAAAAATAAAAAAAATCTTGCTGTAAAGAAATATTGAGATTAAAAATTCAATAAGAAAAATACTTTTTAAAATTTGAGCAGGAGTTATTTTAATTAGAATAAATAAATTAAAAGTAAAACAGAAAAAAGAAATCCACCCAAACTAATCAGTTATTCTAAAATGAAATAAATTAGCTTTCCGGTATTTTTTAAGTTGATAAACTTTAGCTAAGCTTTTATGAAAAACTGGTATATCTTGGCGGTCTGAAAGCGGTCATACTGACCGTACCGCTCTCCCAAATCGAATTAGTTGTTCGGTTTGCGTGTGTGGAAAAAGTTCAAGACCCACAGAGAGAATCGTGAAATTCCGAAATCGGAAATACGAATTTTGAGTCATTATACCCGAGTGGCTATGCAAATTTAATTGCGGTTCTCCCAAATCATCGGAAAGCCAACAGGTCGCCCCTCGACTAAAATAAACGCAATCGGCAAACCAAAATAGAGAATCACAACCGGTTTTAAAATTTCCAACATCGCACAGTTTTCTTGCCTATATATTTTAATTGCAGTGGATCAAAATATCAACGCTCACACGCGCATATATTATCGTAAAATATATATGTCGATTGTGTGAGTTTTTGTTTGTGGTTCGCGGGAATGATATAGTTTTGACCAAGGAAATTAAACAAATAAAAACAAAGCCACCAGACGCAGACATAACTGTGAATATAAACCAACCAGACAGCCATGGGTTATTCCATTAGGGTAAGTGTTGAAATTGACAAAAAAAAATAAACAAAGAGAGAGCCCACGATGCGTATGTGTGTTTTGCGATCTGTAAACTAGTTTCGAACTTTTACACATCTTATTTTGTCGGAAAACAAAAAAAAATAAAAAGAGATTATGGGATCAGTGAGATTTTTCGGTTCTTTTCAGTCTTGTAATTAAGGCACCATAAAATGCCGGCCAAAACTAAAATAAAACGCAATCTCAGTTAATTACAGTGGAACACTGTGTTCACTGTGACTTCACTAAACCGGAAAAAAAGAACGCAATAACCAAATTCACAAACAGAATATAGTGTAGATTATCTAGTCACATTGATTACCTGGCCCTGTTTTTATTTTGGTCATAATGCTTATCTGTCATTACAGTCTTTTGTCGGGTGGCTGAAAGGCTTACATAAATTTCGTTGACATTGGGCAACGTTGTCAATAATAGGCGTCATCAGAAAGGTGGCCTAAAACACAAAAATGTACTTAAATGTACTCTGAAAAAATTGAGCACCCAATTGGAAAAATATTTGTATATATTTATATGTTAGCTTACAGTATTCGATTTTTATTGTTAACTGTTTATAAAATAAGCTTATAAGTAAATGGACAGAACAAACGTGACCAAAATGAATTTAAATACATTTTTAGATATTGAGACATACAATAGAGAATTTTTATCTGGTTCAAAAAAGCGTTACATAAGATTAAATACTTCATAAACGATTTTTTTTTAAACTAGAGGTTTTAATGTGGATCAAAAAACGAATTTCAAATCATGTTTGGGTGTTTAATTTACAAGTTATGTGATTTATTAAATTACATTTACCAAAATTATTTATTTAAACCTTTTTTTTTTGGTTATATGTATTAAATGTTCAAATAACACTCAGCTGACCATATAGTGGATGTGTTAATACAGGTATATTTAATCAGTCTGAAAGTGAACACCGACTACCGGGCAGGCAATCTTAAACTCAAGTGGGAGTAGCCAACTTATCATGACAACTTCACTTCATACTCATCAAAAGCTCTACTATTATTTTATATTCCCACAGTAGTCATACAATTCTTTTTTTTTGCGTTTCACGTAATTTTGGCAGTATTTACCCCAGAAGTTACTAAAACAATGTGGGCAGATAAATATCTGAATTTAAACACTTAAATTTACATTTAAATTGTTAGTAATTAAGCATCATCAAAATTATAAGGGAGGTTTTCTGATACCCGTAAACCAGGTGGTGTACTTTCGTGTATTACCTTTAAATACACAATTTTAAAAAATATACCTTTATATTTTTATAGACATTTTTTAAATGTTTCTAATGGGAATTGTAATTGAGCTAATTGTTAAATTCCCATTAAAAACCTTTAGCGCCAACAAGCTGTCATTCTCATGTTAGATTCTTTACCTTTCAAAATGTTCTACAAAATAGTTTCGATTTCCTCCAATAACTCAATTTATAGGATGTCATTAATTTAGCCACATCAGCTTGTATTGTATTTATTCTGTTTAAAACACATTTGACACGCAAACCGGTCAGTGCTTATACAACTCAGAAATTATTAATGCCACAATTGCAAAAACAAAAAGGCTGTAGAAAAAAGTCAGTATAATTGCATGTGCAATTTACAATTTTCTGCTGTCCATAAGCCTTAATTGTACATTAATAGACGTAGCGGCTGTTGGAGATAAGTAACCCCCCCGATTTCCCTTCGGCGGCTATATAGTTATAGTGATAAGCGGCGTCTGTCGATCAGCCCGACATTCAATCGAAACTGATAAGTAATACGAAATCAAGTCGCTTTTGGCTTTTAGAGGGCCTAGAGGTCTAGACCTGAGAGTTAGTACCGAAGAAACCATGCTGGTGGTAAGAAGTCGGGTGCATAGTGCAGATTATCTCAGGTATCGCAGGTGATTTATTACTCATACGCCTGGCTGTCCGTTCTACCGATCTTATCAGAAAAGCTGTACGTGATTCTATTTTCGGGACATATACAATAACATTTCCACGGGCGCTTTTTTTTTATTTATTTTTTTTTTGTTCGCAGACCGCCGATAACATTTAATAAACAATATAATAAACGGGAAAGAGAACGAAATTTGAGGGAACAAATAGAAATTAATACTCTTTAATAATCTTTCAAAGGGCAAATAGTTAATAATAACTTTTCAAGTGGTGTTTGCTCTTAAATATTTTTAAGATCGTTTTTTCAACCTAATATAGTTAAAAAATTTGCAATAGTTAAGTCTGGGTAAGCTAGTCTGGGAATAAAGAGAGAAGTCCTCATAAGTAATGGTTACTCTTTAAATAGTTTCTGATCTAAAATATTTCTTAGATATATTAGTAAACTTAATGCAACCAAAAAATGTTCATTAATTAAATCTAATTATACAAGCTTGCCTGCTTTTAAATTTCTTCAAGAGATTTTTACCACATGGAAGACAAATAAATATAGCTAAAAATAATAAATCAAGTTTCGTCTATGTGGTTTCTTAAATCTGACTTGCAAATTTTTACCATGTTCGGGGCCATAGAATAGCACCAAAAACACGATCACGCCACCGTAGAATTTCGACGACTCTCTTCTTGTTTTTTTTGCTCTCTTAGACTTTTGTCCTCCTATCACCATTTAATCTTTTCCGATCCAATCCAATCTCCTCCAGAACTGCGAAACTGGTGAGTTGGAATACTTCTACACAGACACCGTGCGAGTGAACAAACCCACCTACGATGAGGAAACCGGCGAGCCCATCCATGATCAGATCATGAAGATGCGCTTTCAAAAACACAACAATTTCCATGTACCGAAGCACTTCCTCCGCGGAACCATCTGCGATGAGATAGACGACGATCTGGCCAATACGGTGAGGCATGGAGCAGCCACGGTGATCCCCAAAGGTCCGCCCAAAAAGGCGACTCCGGGCTACGAGCGGGAGGACTACTGCCAAATGGACGGCGTAAGCAGCGTAAGTTTTATGAAAATAAAGAAAGAAAAGAAATTTCCAGATTAAAATAATATAATCTAATGTGGCTTAGATGTATCTCTTGACTTAAATTATTATACATCCTATTTACAGAACATAATTTTGGGCTACACCCGGCATCAGTACGTGCTGTTCCTGGTGCCCACGCTCTTCTGCTACAACTTCTTCATCGGCGCCGTTCTGGCCCTCATCGAGATCGTCCTGCACATGATGTCGCACCACAAGAACAGCCTCACCATGCAGAAGGGCCTGTACTTCCGGAGTCCACTCCACGTGCTCTCCTCGCAATACTGCGCCATTTGCCGCACAGAAAGCGACAGCAAGTACAATCGCACATTCGATATTCTGAACAAACAGATGCGAAACTCACATCGGGAGGCTCTAAAGGATATGGCCAAGGCAATTGGTTAATTGATCAATTAGTTTCGACACGGTCAATGTATATTTTAACAACAGAAATGTTTTTGTCACACGAACAACAAAAAATAAATGCACTCGTTTATCACTCAAGTGGAGGTATTGCATCAGCAGCTTCTTTCGGCAATCCGCATTGCATGTAGTTCATCAAACTGGAATTTGACCCATTGTCTTGACATTCGGGGAAACTGTGAACTTGGCTCCAGTGCTGGCAATGATGTCGTCCACGGTAAAGCCCTCGGCCACCTCAATCAAAGTTAGGCCCACTCCCTTTTCCACCTCGAACACGGCCTTTTCGGAGATGATCAGATCGATCACACCCTTGCCGGTGAGTGGCAGCGAGCAGGTATCCAAAATCTTGGGGGAACCATCGCGGGCATTGTGCTCCATGGTGATGATTACCTTGGTACCAGGTGCAGCAACCAAATCCATGGCTCCTCCCATTCCTTTTACGAGTTTGCCCTGAAATAGAACGATTTTAAAGTAAGTGACAACATTTTGATTGATATAAATCGGTTGAATATATCATATATCTGTTAATACAATGGTTTTCCTATCATTTCGGATCCATACCTAGACTGTAAGGGTATATGATCTTCGGCTCGCTAAGTAAGCCACTGTTCTCGTTTTTAAATTAGTGTTAGTAAAGGTTTGCTTACAGGAATCATCCAGTTGGCCAGATCGCCAGTGGCCGACACCTCCATGGCTCCCAAAATCGTGATATCCACATGGCCGCCACGGATCATGGCGAAGCTGTCGTCGGAGCCAAAGTACGAGGCGCCCGGCACAACGGTGACACTCTCCTTGCCCGCATTGATCAAATCCGGATCCACTTGGTCCTTGGTGGGGAAGGGACCCAGTCCGAGGATTCCGTTCTCCGACTGCAGCATCACACTCATGCCCTGCGGGATGTAGTTGGAGGAGAGGACGGGAATGCCAATGCCCAGATTGGCGTACATGCCATCACGGAACTCCAGAGCCACACGGCGGGCAATACGCTCCCTTAGAGCCTGGGCAGGACTAGGAGGCGGACTGGGTTTGCTGGGATCCTTGGGCTCCGTGATCCTCAAACGCTCCACACGCTTATTGTAATCGGTGCCCTTGAAAATGCGCTTTACATAAATGCCGGGAACATGAATCTCATCGGGGTTGAGTGCTCCAATGGGCACTATTTCCTCCACTTCGGCCACTGTGATCTTGGCTGCCCTGCACATTGGAGCATTAAAGTTCCTGGCCGCCTTATTGAACACTAAATTGCCCAAAGGATCAGCCTTTTGAGCCTTCACAAAGGCAAAGTCCGCAAAGATGGACTCCTCCATCACATAGTTCTGTCCATTGAACTCCTTCACCGGTTTCTTTTCGCTGGCAATCTCCACTTTGCCATCCTTGGTGTACTTAATGGGTGCACCGCCTTCCTGGACAAGAGTGGCATAGCCGGTGGGCGTGTAGAAGGCTGGAATTCCGGCTCCTCCGGCACGGATCTTCTCCGCCAGGGTTCCCTGTGGCGTCAGCTCCACCGCCAGTTCTCCTTCCAGATATTGACGCACCAGCTCCGTGTTCTCACCCACATACGAGCCAATCACCTTGGCAACCTGCTTCTGCTTGATCAACACGCCCAGACCGGTGTCGTCCACGCCTGGAAAATATAGGTTGTTTTAGAAGAATTATTGTTTGAATTTTCATTCATGAAATTTATAAAACTCTGAAATAATAAGGAACTAAAATTAAATCTGGGATGTAACTAAAAAATTTTAAAATTTTCTGAAACAATTATATTTATACAAGATCCACTTTAAATGATAACTATATATTATTTTCAATTGTTAAATTAATAATGTTTTGGTGAATACGCTTTTTATGTTAAAGAGCAAGTTCTGAGGTCAAGATTTTAAAACGATATTTTTAATTGTTTAATGTTTTGTTTTAATATACATAAAAATATTTTAAAAGTTTATACCTCCATTATTGGAAACGCCAGTGATATTCTTGACTCCCTTCTGCTTCAGGGCGGCGATCATCTTCTCCGGAATGCCGCAGATTCCGAATCCTCCGAAGAGGATTTTGGCGCCATCCTGGACATCGGATACTGCATCAATGGCCGACTCGTAGATCTTGCCATTTCGCTGTTTTCCCGACGTGGAGTAGCACGCAATGGCCTGCAAAACATCAGATCGCATAGGTATTGTGGTATATAGTAGTATATAGTATTAGCATAAAAAGCGGTTTGATATTGATGACTTTTTCACTGTATAGGTGAGCGTGCGTGGGGCTTGTTTGCGCTAGATCGTTACGTAATTTCGCCTATTTTTATTTCGAATTCCAGTGGGTAATCATAATCAGTGGGGTGATAAAGTGGATCGTTCGCGTGGTTCCAACAAAATAATGTTAATCTCCATTGGCAACGAAACATTAAATCAAAACAACACATATGTACATATATGTATAGGGGTTCCACACAAATAAAATTACTCTATTTCTGCAACTATTTAAAGTAGCACCTGTTGTTTTGCTTTTGCTGGAAAAACTTGTTTGTCACCTATTTGATCACATGATTAATTAAGTAGTTACTCTCGAAAGATAACTGATAACTGAGATAAATAACTTTCGTTTAAGATAGTTTATCTATCTATTTCTGGCACATATATTCTAGTTAACTCTATGATGTGAGGTTTAAGATAGTTTTTACCTTAATTGAAGCCGTATAACGGGCACAAAGGTTGCTATGTCCTATTAGCCGACAAAGCATTTTTAACTTAAGTTTATTTAAAATTAAAATTATAAACTGTTCGCGAAATCAACAGAAATAGGAATGAAAAACAGCTGAAGAGCGCAACAGGTTCTGGCTCGTTCTTTTGAACTAGTTCGATTATCGATATTTTTAATTTGGAACAGCTGTTTGAAAACATTTGTAATCGATTGGAATTGTTTTAAAACTATAGCAATTAGTACAATTTAAATAACTAGTTATAATAATAATTTCTCTGGCATAAGTAAATGTATACTTCTTTATATAGAAACATCAAAATCACCAAACCACAAAACTAAGTATTTAAATGCTTATTAAATTTAATTTGCCATTTCTTATCAGTTTCTATTCTCTACTAAAAAATGTAATTAATTTTAAATATATATATGTTATGTACAAACGAATTTTTAAAATCTATTTTAAACTTTAAATTCGATTATCGATTTCCTATCGATTTTAGTGGGACCAGTCGGGAAATCGAATGAAGTCGAAGTTTAGTCATCAGCTGATTGCAACAATAACAAAAATCTGCAATTGTTTATTTCGCAGCAAACAATAGAAAACGTCGGACGCTTCTACACACACACACACACACACAATCACAACCCAACACACACACACGCAAACAGACAGTAAAGAATAGTCAACCAAAACAAGATTGGTAAAATTGTTAAAATAACAAATCAAAACGAAACGAACCGTAAAACAAAATGTCGTGCTAAAATCACTTGTTGTTGCGGTGGTGAAAACTACAGTTTTTAAGGTGAGCTATGGGCAATGTTTATTATGTTTTATATATTGTGTAAATACCCAATACTAGATGCGGTCTAGCGATGATGAATAATTCGGTGCTGCGCAGTTGATAAATAGGAGTTGTAAAGGTTCGAATATATATTAAATATTCTATATACATATACACGTTATGGTCCATCGCTGATAAGATGGCAAAGAAGATGAAAGACGGTCTCCTCCTCCTCCGATTTCCATAGTTTTTCGAGCTTATCTCGAAATTCACTGGCCGTTACAGACACGCATCATCGCCAGCTGTTTACTTGGATGGAGCGCTCCTCTGGAACCTCCCATCTCCTCCAACCATCTACCATTCATACCGGCTTGGCAACCCACCTAAAACAACCCATCCACCCATCCAATCCAAGCCCACAATCCGATCTGATCTATAAATAGCAATCTTAATAGTTTTTCCGCAACAACAACCAAAGTTTCCACTCCGCACTCTGCACCGAATTATCAACATCACCGGCCGACTGGACTGCCACAGCCTCTGGGCAAATAAGCAATCATCGCGGCCTCCTCTTTCCATTTCCACTCCAACTCCACCTCCTCATCCTCCGATCACTACACGTAATCTCACGCACTGAAGAGCGGCAGGCAAGCCTGCCTAAGACGGACGGAGCTCTTCAACAGCTAAGCTTCATAGAACTTTGTCTTTATAAATTTTAGTGTGATATATTCATTACTTCCACATTATAGTCCTAGGTCTTGAATTTATTATCTACAATTGTACTTCTTTTCTTCATAACCTTAATTTGGGTATTATATATCCTGTGTTTCCGCTTCATAGAAGTCCCAAGTCGATTTTATTTTTGTATAACCTAAATTATACTCCTTATCTTTACTTTAATATCTTTAAAAACCTCCTTTTCAGGTATTAAGCCTATTCAATTCTTAACTGTCTGACATAACTTATAATCTGAGTTTTTCTTTACTTAAAAATCTTTGTTTCCAATTTGTCTTCCTCAAATTTAAAACTTATTATTTTTTAACCCAAATATATTTTTTAACCCAAATATAATTTTACTGATAAGGAAAATGTTATTGGATTTATCTTATCTAAATAGAAAGACTAGATAGAAATGTAGAACTGAAAAGTAAATACTTTGACAAGACCATTTTCTTATTGTGAATTCTACCGCTCGTTCTAACAATTGCTTATAAACCCACTTTTAACCCACTTTATTATTTTAAGGCTCCATTTAAAACAAAGCTAAAAATACAAAGAATTTTAGGCACCTTTCAAAAACTAGTATGCATTAAATAATGTTGATATTAAAATGGAACCAAAAAAATGTTCTTCATATTGATATTTAGTTAAATTATTTAAATAAATTAGAAAACCTTGAAAAATACAAAATAAATCCATATATACACAATTTTTATTTCCATTATTGACAATTCCAATAATGAAATATGATATTTGCAACTTACGAAGTGCAACTGTATTAACTGACTTTGCGTTGTAATTACAGCTGGCGTTCTCCTGCGATCGCCACGTTCAGTTTGGTCTCATCGCTCCAAGCGTCCACAACGTTGATGCCCGATGCCCGAGGAGCATCCGCTGGCCATCCGCTGGAGCAGACTCTTCGCCGACACCGCTGTCGTCGCCTTTTGGGGGGCACTACTATCTGTGATTCTCGATGGCCGGAATGGAGGTGAGGAAGGAGGAGCAGCAGCTGCTGCTGGATACCCTGATCGGACTGTGGAGCCAATATCTCCAGGCCTCGGAGCTGGAAGATGCGAGTGTCAAGGTTTGTGTGATTCGATTCTCCTTCGCCCATTGATATTCTTATCATTGTTTGCCATTCGTTTATTTTACCCATCACAGGACCACTGGATCTGGCTGTTGCTGTATAATTTTCAGTTTCTGGACGATAAGACCTTGGAAGATGCCTGGCTTAATAGGTATAATATTTTTAAATTGGATAGGATTACAGATATTAAAAAATGAGCACATAACCTTGTCTAGTATTCAACCAAATTCTAAAGTTAGTTTTTATAAAGAAAGTACTTTAAAGTAAAATACAATTTAATTGTTACATTAGTTTTTTTTTTGTTGATCCATTTCTACCTCAACCTTAAAATAGCTAAAGCTATTACATATATTTAATACTAACAAAATTTTATAGTCTTTTCTTAAAATCTATTTTCGAATATATATTATAAATACTTATAAGATACTCTTGCCATATTTTAAAAAGTTAGTCTTCATGAGGTAAATATTTAAATGCTTTGTTTTCTGACTTGTTTTTACAGGTAGCCTAAATAAAACAAACTATTTTAACGTAACAAAAAAGTAAAATTATTATTAATTTTACTTTATTTTATATAATATTCACAATATTTAATTTATATATTATTTTTAAATTTTTACGATAGATTGAACAATTTTTACAGATATTTGACCAAGAGAATTTTTATATTTACGAATTGATATTATAAATTCTTTAAAGAACTTTAAATGATTTTTAAGTTTATTTTATAAGGAAACTATTTTAATCTATCATATAGTTTTACAATATTTTTAAAAAATAATTGTGTATTCTTCCAGCCACTTCAATCTGATGCCCGAGGAGCTCTGCTCATTTCTGTTGGAGCAGGTCTACCAAATCATCAGCGAGGCGAAGCGATCTCAGGGAAGCAGTCCCGATCAGGAACAGCAGGAGCAGCAGGATAAGTGCATCAAACAGCTGCGCAAGGAGCATAATCTAGCCCAGGTTTTTAAGTTTAACTTTAAACGTTTTCCCTTTCCATACTAAGGTTATACTTTTTGCAGCTGATACTCAGCACTCCCAGTGATTGCAATAAGATACTTGCCCTGCGGACTTTTCTCACCGATAAGTTGGGCCATCACTTGTTGGCCTTTCTGCTGCGCGTGGATATCAAGGCAAGTTTGGATGGGTTTGATTTCAAATAGGGTGGTTTAATTTGCACTCTTATATATCCCAAATAACATCGTTCACACTTTTTAAAAATTCAAACATTTTGTATTGAAATGTGTTTATGGTCAGTTATAAAATAACCGGAATATTCGACATATATTCTGGCATGACATATCCTTTACTAATAATAATTTAACTTTATTATTTTTTTTTTATTTGAATAATAATAATAACAACCCAACTCCACCATTTTGATTCACCTTAATGCCTATTATTTAAATAAATTTAATAAATTATTTTTTTCTGCCTTGTAGCACATTGCTTCCCAGAAGAGCCTGTGCCAGCTGTGCATCAACCTGTTTCCCAACTGCAAGTGGAGCATGTCCAACGAGCCACTGCTTCCGCTGACCAGCGTTTCGCAGTTCATCAGCAGTTTCTACCTCAATTCGCAAAGCAAAAAGCTGCGACGCCAGCAACAGCAGCAGTCGACAAAGAGTCAATTACCCAATCACATATCAACCAATGCCATCGAATTGAATTTCGAGGCTTTTAAAGGGACAACAAAGAGCAGCGATGAATTGGCCTTGTTGCTCATCCAATTGCTCACCAGATGTGTGGATGCTGAGCAGGAGTCCCAGTTGAGTGTGACGGTACACAACTTTGCACTGGGACATTTGTGCGCCAGTTTGGAGCAGGATTCACCCGGCGACAATGATGAGATTATCAAGTTCGAGCTCCTACAACTGATAGCCCACTGTGTGAATAACTTTTACATACTAGAGCAACAGCAGCCAAATGTCCATGATTTTAATAGCAACTTTGGGCAACTCCTCTATGCACTGACTGCCAATCGAAGGAGTCCACTGCTGGCCCATGGTGTACTCTATATAATGTTTGGCACTCTACACAATCTGGTGGAGAATGGCGTTAAGGAACTTAACCAAATTGATGTGCGAAACTTTGATGCCTGCTTTGAGGTTTTGCAAGAGGCAGCCAAATCGACGAATTCTATATTTCTGAATATCTACAAGTTGCTGCTCCGTTTGACGGACAATCTGTCCAGGCAGGAACAGCACTTGCAAAGTCTCATGGAGAGCAGCGCATCGACGGCTTTGCCCAAGCAGCAACAGCAGCAGCAGCAACATCTACATCCGCGACATAAAAGAGGACAGCGGAGTAGCCAACTACATTGCCAGGGATCCAGTTCCCTGAGCTGCTATTTCCAGGGCAAACTATATAGTTTACTGCCCAGTTTGGATGCCGAACTTCAGGAGCACAGTGTGAGAAGCCTACTGCGAACGGGCAGCTGTTGCTGCCACTACAATGCCAGGAATTATGCCACCTGCCTTCAACTGGCCACCAAACTAAGTAGCAGCTATCAAAAGTGCGCCTATAAATTTCTGCACTACAATGTTTTGCACACCA